TTTATGATCCATGATTCATTTTTTATGATTCATTATTCAATTTTAATGATCTAACTTTTTTTTACTATGCTCGATTTTATGATTTGTATTTTTTTTTCAATTTTTTAAATTGCCCTCTTGCCGAGAAAAGAGTTATCATCGGAACCGGAATATATATATATATATATATATATATATATATATATATATATATATATATATATATATATATATATATATTTACGAACCCATGCATTGTACGCATAAAATATAAAAAATTATACACAAGTAAGATATAAAAAAGTTCAAAAATAAAAAAATTATATGTAGTTATAAATATGAAAATAACTCTTTGTATATAGGGATTTATATATTAAATTGTTTGATTTTGAATATTACTTTGAATATCTTTTAAATCATTATACGAAGAATAAATTGATATTTAATATTAAACTTATTAAACTTAGGGTTTATATAAAATGAATTTAAAAAAATTAAGGAAAATAAGACATTTTATAAAGAATCTAGAAATAAAAAATAAATAAAAGATACTAAAAAGATAATATATAGCATGTGCATAAAATAAGACGACATCTTGTTCGGAGATGATCATAAGACCTTTACTGATTTTGTCTTTAGCCCTTTCATTATCAACCTCAATAGTGATGACGATGATGCTCCAATAACCAAATGGTAGTTTGCAAAGCTGAGCGAGAAGTTGGATTCAATCTAGGGGCCTTCCAATCAGTCATCTTCATCCAAATGGGACTACATGTTGACATCTGATAAAGCTATTGTGGAGATGCTCACATTGGTAAATGCAAAAGTCCTTGAAGAAGCAACCAAAGCCATCTATGCTTCAGAAAAGAAGATTTATCAAACGACCGCAACATTCTAAAAACTGTATCAAGAAGTGAAGGATTTCATGACTGATTTTCGAACCTCATCTGATAACAATACAACTTCTATGAATAAAGTGATCGAACGATTTGGGTCCTCTTTAAAATCTGAGAAAGAGGCTCTCTCACTCTTTCGTTCCGACATCAAAGTTGAAAATGTTGAACTCACTTCCTGCATTATCTCCAAGATTGAAAAGCTACAAGAAGACTTGGCAGTTGAATACAAGATAATGGATGAATTGGCTGAGAAAACTTAGATGGCCAAGGTCCATTCTGTGAAACTGAAGAATGCTACTAAGCATAATGTTGATCTTGAAGATGAACGAACTCTAGTCAAAGCTTGTGTTTCCGAGATCAACCAATATTTGATGAGGCTTGTTGAGACTCATTACTCCTTATTCATTGTCTCAATACGACATCAATTATCTAACAAGCTTCAACCAATTTTTGCTATGCTTAATCAAATTCAAGGTGTTTCGGGAAGTGAGGTTTCTCCAAAACAAGGGGAGACAAGGAACAACAGACAAAGTCTGCAACTGATCAGAAGGATAATGTAGCTTTTGGTTCAGGTAAAGACAAAGACAAGGGCAAAGGCATTTTGGAAGATGACACTGATAAAAATTTGCAAATGACTGAAGAAGAAATTATTGCCATAGAAAAACATGACAAAGAGCTAGATGATATTCAGTCTCTTCGGAGGAAATTAGAGGCATAAGAAGTTGAGGTTAAGAATGCGAAAATTATGCTTGAAACTAAAAAATCGTTATTTCCAGCTTGGACTATGGAGCACATTCAGAAAGAAGCGATTGATGATCCTAGTATCTACTGGTTGGAGCCCTCAATCTCGTTTGACTTGGACAATGATATGGAAAGTCAATTCAATTTTTCCATCACTCCAAGGGCATTTCTCTTTCGTTGTTTGAAAAGATTGAGAAGTCTTTGATCTCTGAAAGTGCAGTAAATCGGAATCTCTTTTCGTTTTACTTGAAATATGTCAAACCATAGTACGTGACTTGGAGCTTGAAGAAAATAAGGTCCGTGAAGGTTGGATTTCCTGTTCAGACCGAAGACTTTCTAAACATACAGTTCAAGGGATTCAGAGGAGCTAATCACGTTATAGATGAGTTCACTTTGGTGACTTGCCATTTATGAACCCATATGACTGGATCTCCTTGTTCTACATCGTTACAAAACACAAAAAGAAGTATGAGCCTATCATTGTACATTTGAAAAGGATGATCATATGCTACATCCTTGAAATTGCGAAGATGGATGTTGAGATCACATATGTTCTGAAAAATAGGCACATTCTAAAGCCGGAAGAACAACCAAAGGACTTCAGAAGTTGAAGGCGGGTGTTATACGAAAGGATCATTGGAGCATAGTCTATAAGAGAAAGGATGGTGATGTAGTTGAGAACAACATGTTCTTTCTGCAAGACAAACATCTTTACTCATCAGCCGCCTTGAAGACAATTCTTTCTTTAGCTAAAGCATGCAAAGGAAACTCTGTTGCTAACCTCAAATGCTTTTCAGATATGATACACTGGTACTTATGTGTCCGAAACTCGCTTCTGAATATAATGCCAAAATTGTTTGACACGCAGAAAAGACGCCAATAAAGACTAGGGCTGAGCATGGGTCGGTTTGGATCGGTTTTAACCCAAAACCGAACCGAAAACCGATGGTATCGGTTTTTAAATATTTAAAATCGAACCATAAACCCAAACCGATGGGTCGGTTTCCTGGTTTTCCGGTTTTTTCAAACTCGGTTTCGGTTTTAAACCCATAACCCGTTCGAAATTTTAATTGTGGGATTTGGTAGTTTGTATTGCTTTATATAAGAGGAGACTAGGAAGAATGTTTCATCCTTTGATCGATGTGGGATACAATTTTGCTGTAACAAATACAAGAAACAAAGGGAATATTGGCAAACAAAATAAAACACGTCAAGAGCAAGGATCGAACCCAGGTCATTTACATTATACGTCTACCTCCTTAGCCAACACACCAGCCATATGTTTGTGTTTACAAGTAAAGGAAGACATATATATACATATATAAATCGCAGAATTCATATTTTTATAAATATCGGTTCGGTTCGGTTTCTCTCGGTTTCGCACATTACTAAAACCCAAACCGAACCGAATTTTTCGGTTCCTAAATAATACAAACCCAAACCATCGGTTTATACTTTGGTTTCGGTTTTTCGGTTTCGGTTTCATCGGTTTTTTCGGTTTCCGGGTTCGGTTTTGCTCACCCCTAATAAAGACTCTCCTTCCGATTTGACACAAAGGTGGAGATTGTTAGGTTTATTATGTGTTGTGTCAAATATATGATTTTGTACTTTTGTTTATTCCGAAATGGATCTGTCCAGGTTCAGAAGTACTATGTAATGTAGTCTATATATAGCGCATGCATGTAACTTATTAGGGTTACGCCCTTAAGTCATTTGTAAGCTCTTACAGAAAAGTTCCGTCTTTGTAAACTCTTCTAGAGCCATTTTAATCTAATCATTCGACACACTTTTGATCAATATTGTTCTTGTCTTTAATTCACGTCATTAATATAAAATCTATTGATCTTTATTGTTCTCTCAAAATGGAGGCTAGGGTTTCGTTCTTAGGGTTATAGAGGATTGAGGCTTAAGAAAATGAGGGTTGGAGGTAAGTTAAGGTGTTTAAATATGGTCCAAGACCCTAAATTAGGGTTTTCATCTGGCCTCCGAATGCCCTACGTTCCCCAAAGTGCCCGTGTTCACTTTCCCCATGAACGTCATGTGTTCGCTCTTGGTACGCCCTGCATACCCGGTTTGGCCCAAAACCGTTTTAACTTCAAATGATCATAACTTTGCATCCCTTATCTGTTTTCGGCGTTCTTTATATCTACGGAAAGGGAAGCCTTACACTCTATCAACTTACTTTTTCTTGAAACCAATCGAACTCAAATCCAAATTTCATAATAGGCCTGAACCAACGCCATTACTGATACCCTTGGGCTCTAAAGCACAAACCGAACCTTTTCATCACATAACCAACATTACCCATATCCAAATGGGTCTAAACCTTTCTTCCCCAAGGTCCGAAGCCTCCTGGTAACAGATATTCGGGTCACGGTCCCGTATTATGAATCCATTTAAAACAGGATGTTACACGACATGTGGTAGTTGTTTGTGATATAGTTTTCGTTTGAATTCTTTGAATATGTGAATCAGTGTATAATAGATTGAATTAAGTTGTGAATTTTATGTATTAAACTGAAAACGAATTGTATTAAGTTGTGAATGAATGTATGCATGAAAATACCAGACTGTGAATTAATAAATTAATATGTTTATTAAACAGTGAATATGATATTTTTAAACTATAAATATGTCTTATAAATGATATATTTTTTAAAGAAATCTATAATATATAAGAGAAAAAAAATTAAGTTGTCAATGTACTTATTAAATTTTATATATTTGATTGCAAAAATGATATGATATGTGTTAAAAATATTATCAAATAAATGAAGGATTAAATTTTATATATTTGGTTGCAAAAATGATATGATATGTGTTAAAAATATTATCAAATAAATGAGGACTAAATTTTTTGTTCTATTAAGGTGTGAATACAACCAGAAATGCCACTAAATTTGGTGTTAGACAAAATTGCAAGAATGGTCCATGTGGTATGTCCAAAAATGTTACTTTGGGCCAAACTGGTTTGGATTAGCACCAATAGTCCAAAAGTTTTCACTTTGCTGCGACTTTGGTCCAAAACAGTTTAAAAAATATAAAAATGACGGATTTACCCTTCTCTATTTGTTTTTTGCTTTTCTTTTTGTTATTTAATTATTTTCTAACTAAAAAATTAAAAATTAAAAGAAATTCTCTCTCTCTCTCCTACCAATCAAAGGAGGTGGTTACCACTCCTCCTTCTTCATTTTCGAGCAAGAGAACTCCACTAGAGGTGGAGCTGTTTTCCGGCCACCAAGAAACACCCACCGTCACCAGTGCCACCTCCATCTCCCTTCCTCTGCTGTTTTTTTTTTCTTCAGAGAACAACCCACCACTTCACCACTCACCACCACTATAACCACCCGAAATCACCACTCTAACCATCCACCTCCTTCTGTTATGTCAAACAAACACCAACCAAAAGCCCCCGCTACTGTTGCAGTCAGAGTTCTTCCTCAGCCACCGCAAGACACCACCAAACACCCATCCTTTTACTCTCCTATCTCTGACAAATCGACCCCAACTGTCTCCTCTTCGATTTTCAGTTGTGAAATGCTCCCATCATCTTCTTCTAGATCTTGTTCCTCACCTGAATCAAAGGAAATGGATGAAAAAAGAATAAACCTTGGAGGGATACTGAGCAGACACAAAAGGTGCAATCGATTGCAAAAATCGTTCCAGGTTACACAACGATGAAAGCATCAAAGGTTCTAATGGTATCGAGTTTGATGGCTTTACAACTCGGTTCTCATGCTCATTTGTTTCGGACGACGCCGTGGATTGGAGATAACAAAACGGAGCCGAAACCCAAACTCAAACCAAAACCAAAAACACGTCGTCTGATGATCTTTTGTTATAAAACAAAGGTGACCCAAAAAGGATTTATCGATTGAGGCTTCGATAACTCAGAAAAACCCTAACAAATTGGGGAATAACCAAATCAAATGATGCCCACAAAGAAATGATCCCCCTTTTATGTAGATTTAATTGTAGTGGATTCCTAAGGACGATTCAGAAGCGATTTGATTTTTGATCTGGTGGGAAAATGGAGGTTTGCGAGGATAAAAGCGATGGAAAAGGAAGAGATGAAAACCAGTGTCCCTGGAGGGGGGGGGAGAGAGAGAGAGAGAGAGAGAGAGAGAGAGAGAGAGAGAGAGAGAGAGAAAGAGAGAGAGAGAGAGAGAGAGAGTAAAAAAAACTAAAAAAAAGAAAAAACAAAGGGTAAAATCGTCATTTTTTAAAAAATCAAGAAAAATGGACCAAAGTCGCAACAAAATGAAAACTTTTGGACTATTGGTGCTAGTCCAAACCTGTTTGGCCCAAAGTAGCATTTTTGGATATACCACAGGGACCATTCTTGCAATTTTGTCTTGGTGTTAATCTGTCGCGGATTCTATAGCAGTCCAACGATGTTCCAGTGATTAGGTGACAGCCAGTTGTAAAGGAGTGAATGGAGAGTTTGTTTTATTTAATATTAATGTTTTTTTTTCAAAATATTCTTAATGAATAAATTTAAAAAAAAACATGGTTCTTAAGGCTCCTAATATTTTTTTGTTCTTATTTGAGAAAATGCTCCGTTTTGAACCGAAAGTCTCGTTCGGCACTACAAACTTTTAGCGTTTAGTTTAAACAAAACGCTCCAAAGCCAAATGTTACTTCATGTAATGTTTAACAAAACGCCACAAGTTACAAGTTACCTGCTACAAGTTATCCGCTATCAGTTATTTTTGCCGAACACGCCCGTAAAAAAGTTATATAATAAAAGAAATATTATATATAGTTATAAATATGAAAATAACTTTTTGTATATAGGATTTATATATTAATTTTTTTGATTTTAAATATTATTTTGAATATCTTTAAATCATTATTGGAAGAATATTAAGAATAAATTGTTATTCAATATTAAACTTATAAATTTAGAGTTTATATAAATTTTTTTTAAAAAAAATGAAGAAAATAAGACACTTTATAAAGAATACATGAAAAAAGAATATAGAAATAAAAATAAATAAAAGATACTAAAAAATAATATATAGCATGTGCATAAAATATGTAATGTCTCAATAAATATTTCTTTTATTATAATAATGATATATAGCTTGAAGTAGGCGGTGTTATTGAGGAAACAATCATCATATTCCATTATCGGCAATACCCTACCTCCTCTCTCATTCCTTAGCCTCCCAGAATTGTTTCTTGGTGAAAATTATTAGAACCCATTCAATTTTCAGATACAAATTCAATAATTGAAACACCCCTGTCGTATTGAAGCTCACCCTGGCTTTGGGTATGTTTTCTATCTCTATATTTTATTTTATTTTATTTTTTTGCAAGATTTTTTTTCATTTCAAGTGGCTCGTTTAAGTATAAAAGAATTCGATTTTTACAGATCTGGCATCTGGATTTCATCTATTTTGCTGGTGTCCTCGTTTTTTTTTGAAGTGTTGAAGTTGAATCTCTTGTGGGTTTTGTTTCGATTTCAAGAAATTTGCATTTAAATATCAATTTTGAGGAGTGTTTTTTCTTCACCAAATTGAACATGTTTTGAGCTAAAAATCATGATTTGTGTTTCGGATCTTACCATTTAAATCAATAATCAAAAACCCAATTAAGTACTCAGGTCAATCTTTCTTCCCCTCTTTGGTGTTCAACATTTTTCTTAAATTGATGCAATTATTGAAATCAACAGATTGTGTTCAACTCTTCAAAAGTATTAGGGTTTCAATTTGACAATTTTTAACATCGTTTTCAAACAAGTTTCTGATTTCGATTTCGATTTCGATTTCAATGTTTCCAGGTTTAAAACCGACAAAATGGGTCTGTCGCCGTACCCAACCCCCTCCGACGCCGGTGTCCTCTGCGTGATTCTGGTGAACACCGCCATGTCAATATCAATCATGAAGGAAATAGTCCGATCAATCCTTCACGTCATCGGAATCCATGTCACCTCATGGGAAGACTACTCCAATCAATCGATAACAGAATCAGTCGAACGTAGTAGAGGAACCCCATCGGAAACTTACATGGAGGAGTTCAGAAGCCGGACGCCGTCGCTCCTTTACGACTCTCTCACCATAAATTGCCGGAGTAAAGAAGAATGCTCCGTTTGCTTGGTGGAGTTCAACCCAGATTCAGAAATCAATCGCCTTTCTTGTGGCCATGTTTTCCATAAATCTTGTGTTGAAAAATGGTTAAAATACTGGAACATCACTTGCCCACTTTGCCGAAACCACATGATGATTCCAAAAGAAGAAGAAAACACTTGCCCGATGTAAGTTGTCTTTTTTTCTTTTTCTTTTTTTTTTTTTTGGGTGATTTTTAGTGCAAAAGTACAGTTGTTGATGATGACTTCGGAATTTGCCTGTTTTTGTATATATACATGATAGATATATATATAAACTGTGTAAGGTTTCCGGTGTTGTGTGCACCTGAGAAACTCTTTAGTTTTTTTTTTTTTTTTTCTTGATGCATTTTGTGGTTAGTTTATTATAATCCGATTGTATTTTTACTGATTCGTAGCTCGATTACTACACATTTAAGATAGCATTTGAAGACATAAAATGAGCAAAAGAAGTTGAGTTCAACATTACATGAGACAAAATGTCTGACAAAAATATCTTGGTGTTTGGTAGGAGATGAGTTGGACGGGTATGATTGGACCGAACAAGTTGTTAAAATTACCATATTGCCTTTGTCTTTTTAGTTTTTACAAATACAAGTCAGTTAAAATTACAGTATTGTCCTTTACAAATAAGAACTTAATCTAACATATACATAACTTCAAAATTAACAAAGTTTTTCATGTGAGCTCACAAACTAATGGTTGTGTTAAATTTTAAGAAATATATGGTCGATATATTATTTATACCAAAATTCTCAAAATATTTAATTTTGAAATGTAAAGACAAAACAATTGACTTGTAGTTAGTGGTTGCACCAAAACCCTCTTGTAGTTGGACTAAATTGGACGTTACTTTTGCTTTATTGTTGACTAATAAGTCACACCTAATCTCCCCGTGTATAATTCATTATAAGAGTGTGTTGGTTAAGCTTGTGAAAAATAATAAGCATTTTTCTAAAATTATATTTTATAAGCTTAGGGACGTAACTTATCAATTTTGACTTATTATACGTAGGACTTATTTCTATCCAAACACAATTTTCAGCTTATATTGGTGTGGTGTGGAAGTCCGGTAAGCTAAAAAAAAGCTTTTATATATATATATATATATATATATATATATATATATATATATATATATATATATATATATATATATATATATATATATATATATATACTAACACTACAAATAAAATGGCGCTAAGACCGATTGTTTTTTCCAAACCATTTTGGTTGTTGTCATCTTTACATTTGTTTCCTTCAAGCTTCTGACCACTTAATTAATACGCAAAGATACGTAATCTAACTTGTAAGAATTCGTGATCTTTGTCTTAGTTTATACGTTATGTTTCTAATTTGTAGTTGTAAGTTATATAAAATGTTAAGTATTTTTTGTTATTTCTTTTTCTAATTTATTGTCAAAATTATGTTTCTAGTTTGTAAATGTGATGTTGGTTACTATAACTCGTTGACATTAGTAACTACTAACTTTTTTAACGGTAAATTTAATCTACTTCTAAATTACTTTTTAATTCCACTTATGTTCACGATATGAGTCATTGAGTTAAACTTTCAATCTCAATGAGAGAGGACAACATCTGCTGCTATTGGGCTAGAAATCTTTTGGTAGATAGTGGACGTGTTCGGCACGGAGCGTTTAAGAGCTTTTAGCTAGTTTTGCAGAACATACTTAGTAACTAATATATCCTCTTACCTGGCAAAGATTTGCCTCCGCGGAAGGATGATTCATTCGGATCAACATGAGAGCTCAACTACATTGCATATAGAAATGTTCAAAAAGTCATTGAAGTTTACGATGAAAAAAAAAAGAGACATAAACTGAAACCAAATTGTCAATCCCAAAAACTGAAGAAACGGAGAAAAATAGACTACGATGTGTTTGTTTCTATAAGGATTGTTTTTTTTATGATAAATTAAATTATTTAATATGAGATCGAAACTTTTTTTTTTTTGCATGTCTAATTAGTTATGAGTTTAGGATCATCTTATATTTTTAGAATCTTTAGTGTAATTGGAATCTACATGAGTGAGTGTGAAGTATGAGATTTTGATCTAATACAAATCAAGTCATGCAAAAAAAACATTTGCAATAGATGAATTTGATCCTAATCATGTAAAATGGTGAGGGTTAAAGGAACCACACCTAGAGTTGAATATTTCTAGAATCTGATCCAGACTGGATTTATGACATCACCAAAAGAAATGGTTTTACACAAATTGGATCTGATTGGATCCAGATATAGAGGAAAAGATATAGGTTCATCCTAACCGATTATAAGTATGTTCCATTTCAGATCCCCAAATACTATCAATAAATGGTCTGATTTTCAAAAAAAAAAACGTAACAAACATTTATACTATAACACTTAGTTTTTATATTTAATTTTAAAAATTATTCAATAAATTAGTAAAATAATAAATTTACTAATAATCAATAAAAGCATAATAATTTTAATTGATAAAATATAAATATTGAGTCAAAGTTTAGAAATTTAGGAGTTGCGATGACTAACAATAAACAAACTCATGTGTAACATTTATTTAACTCGTCTAACACCAATAAGACTAAGGGATTGTTTGATAGTTATTTATTGAGTGAGATCCAATCCACTTAAAACTTGATTGAGTTAAGCTAAACCTCTTATCAGATTCAGTAAAATATCTATTAGAAGCTATAAGACTAAACCTCTTATCAGATTCAGTAAAATATCTATTAGAAGCTATAAGACTAAATCAGATGCTTTTAATTGTAGTACATTCATTGCATCATATCAATTAATGAATCAAAGTTCTCAAGGTGATCCTTGAATTTCCTGATCACCAATAGAAGTAAAGGCGGCTAGAAAATTTTAAACATTGTTGTCTTGCTGATAGATATTCATTATCGGATTCTACAATGTCATGGATTTGGCAATGGAAAAGATCTCATTTTACTAGTCAAGAGTTGATGGAGTTACAAACTTGTTGCGAGGTGATTAACAATATTTCACTTTGGTGTTATACTTTCTCACAGCCTGGGTCAAATGCGTGTGTTTGGTGTGTATTTTTTGTTATTGGGTGGCTGTGAGTCAAAGTATTTTTTCGAAAAAGGTTTCTTTCTTTTTGGGATATATAATTTATTACCCTTCCTTGACATCTTGGTGTTGGTCTTATTACAAATATTATTACCCTTTCTTGTTGTGGCGTAGTTTATTATCAAAAACATTATTGTATATATATATATATTTTTTTTCATTTTCTAGCTTGTGACTGATAAATGCTTTTATAATATTTTTGCTTTGCTGTTCAAAAAAAAAAAAAAGAATGAGTTTATCATCTAGAAAAGATGTCCAAAATACATGTAATATATTTGTATATTTCCTTATCAGTAGTTCTATATGCATAAATTATGTATGCAGTTTATGTAAAACATGTTTGTAATACCTGTGTTTTCGATTAGTATTGATCATGTATATTTTACGATTTTAGTTATATAAGTTATTAATTATTAAAGCTATATAGATCATAAAATAATATATGTTTTGATAATATTTTTTGTTAATACATGATGCTAATTCGAAATGAATTGTCGTATATTTTGTAAGTTATAGATCGTAGTGCTCATTTGAAATGTATCGAACTATTGATATATCTTTGTTAAGTTATAGATTTTAATTGTTTTGCTAGTCAATTCTTATTCTTATGTATTATAGAATTAATGGAAGTATATGTGTAATATATTTAAATCAACGAATTATGGTTTTTGATAAACAAAAAATAGAATAATAAAGAAAAAAAACATATATGTAATTTAATTAAACTAGATTCATCTTACATACGACATTTCAATATATTTCTTACATGTAAAGCAAAACAAAGATGCATGCACCTAATAGTTTTAGATAAGAAAACTAAATATTAGTATCAATTACTAATTTAGTCAAATTCTTTATCGACTTTTTATTATTTTACCTAAAACCTAGGACTTTGTCTAAAATAGTCATCGAAACTGTAGTTAATTAAAATCGTTTACTTCACTTACCTATAGTTTCGGTTTTAATACATAAGGAATTTTTTTTCATAATTCAATACGAAAGCGTAGACCTTAAAATGATCTACAGTTTCCTCTTCTAAATGGTCTAGTGTATCCCAATAGTAGATCTAAAATGGTCTATTATTTCCTCAAAAAACCTACAGTCTTGGGATTTTTTTTAGCTACTCACTTGAACTCGTACTATGATTTTTGAGAGAAAACAAGATCAAGAAAAAAAACATTAATTTTTACTCTAAAAAAATCATTCTTGTAATATATACTAGGTACGATATAATAGTCAAAATGCATAAAATAGTAATCAACTTCTAGCAAATAGTAGTCAAATAATAATAATAATAATAATAATAATAATAATAATAATAATAATAATCTCAAAACCATTGGGTTTTTAACCAAATAGTAAACTATTTTAGATCTATTATTTGGGATAAGTAGATCATTTAGAGGAAATAGCTTTAAGGTCCTACAATTTTGTATTGAATTATGAAAAAAAAAACTTTATATACGAAAGCCAAAACTGTAGGTACATTGGCGAAAAAGTAAACCATTTTAATTACCTACAATTTTGATGGTTATTTTGGGTTAAATCCTAAAGTTTAGTTAAAGAGTAAGAAGTCATTAAAAAATTTCGTTAGATTAATAATTTTCTCTAAATATTAAAATATTATGATTCTATATAAAACAAATAGACGTATAATTTCGTGTCGTGGCAATTTTGATAACGCGTCTAAATATGGAGTGTGACTAGGCATTTAGAATGTACTGAAGCATTTTAAAAGGTGATCCAAAATTTGGTATAAACAGAGATAGCATTATTAGGCATCTTCTATCATTGCAAAATTATATCATAAAGAAATTGAGAGCTATCGGGGAATATAAGCAAACATAAAGAATAATGGAACTAGAGAAGTTTTAGAGGTAAACTTATATTGATTTGTTTTTTTTATATTTATAATGTATATAGTCAAAAATTGTTATTATAATTTAAGAAGTTATATCTCTTTATAGTTTATACTCAAAGTATAATTATGATTTGTTTAAACTTATTTTTGAAATACTAGACCAACGAGGTATGAGTACGTTACGTAACCAAAATTTTATTAGTTATATTATAACTTATTAGTTGTAAGATCCATGTATTACATGATTTCATTTAAAAAAATATATAAACAAATATAAAGACCAAACAATTTACAAAATTTAAATTTATAAGGAAAAAAAAAGTAAAATATTAATTATTAAAATTGAAATGCTTATTTAAAATTGAAATGCTTATTTATCTTTTAAATTTAAACTAATAATTTAAATAAATAAACAACAAAATAATTGGATTCAATTTAGAAATTTAGAAATTATAAGTAAAGTTGCATAAATGAATTAGATATATGTTTATTATTGTATTTATTATATTTAAGTATTATATGAAACTTAATAATAATAATAATAATAATAAACTACAAAATAACACATGAATATAATTTAAACCAAATTTACCAAAAAATGACATATGGCATAATACATAAGAGAATAACAAGTGATAAAATT